ACACACACACACCAACCTCAGCCTGAACCCTTTTTTTCTTTATTTGTCTTTAATTTTTGCATCTTAATTTTTTTTAAACACCCAATTTCCCAACACAAACCCGAAAAACATTTCTCAAAAAATACAGGACAACTCAGCGCCCATGTCCCTCATGATAAAAAATGACAAAAAAAAAATTATGCCTTTCTTTTTTTTTTTTTAATAATTTGTTGAAATCAATTTTCGTTTTTAATTTTTTTTAAAATCTTAAATGAAGTCGAATTCCAAAATAGAAATATAGGATTGTAGGGTTTTCCACGCCCTACAACCCTATATATATATATATAAACATATTTTTAGGGGTATAAAAAAATATTAAAAAAACAGGCCGCGGACCGGGCCTCATTGGCCGCGGTCGGCCGCGGTCGGCCGCGGCGGCCGAATTGCCCGCGGCCTAGGCCGCGGGTGTCACATAGCCACTCTGGTTTTTGCAAGTGGCAGAAATTGGATTTTCATAAGCAATCTGGGTGCGCCGTGCGGCCGCGGCCAATTTTCTTTTTGTGACCACCTGGGTGTTCAGAGGAAGAATAGGGAGTGTGTGGGCGCGAAGTTTTGAAGCGCGCATGATTTTTTTGTTGATGTTATAGAGCCGGCACAATTGCCGGCCAGCTTATTTGCTTTCCACTAAATTAGGATTAAATGTTTTTTTTTTTCTTTTTCTTTTTGATCGGTACATTTGACATTGGGGCGTGCGCGGGCACAGAGGTTCCATTGTTATGGACGGCGTCAGGTCTGACTACAGCCTAAAGGTGCTGCAATTTCAAAGATGACTACTTTCGATTCTATTTAAAGACGGCATTAGAGCTTGTGAAGTAGGTAGCAGTACGGTAGGGCGCCTCTTTGAACCTACCCACTAATTAGAATTCTCCTGCAATTTCGGCTAAGGCGTGCGTTGCCGGAGTGCAGCACGGACAAAGATTGAGTTACTTTCCGCCGCTAAAATGGTGAAAGGATAGCTTTGGAACGGTGGTCGATCGCATGGGATTGGAGTGATGGCGGTATGGCTTTGGTGTAGTGAGCGGCGTGCATGGCAACCATGGTGAAGCCTAGCCCCACGTGTGATGGGGGATCGGGGCGTTTTGATTAACCCGTCGACAGCGCAGAACTCATTTATATTTTATCTTGCAACTGCTAGTCTCAGCCTTGGGCCTAGAACTATTGGTTATGGTGTTAGACAATCGCCCTATAGATCTAGGGGTTGAGGCTAGCGATTACGACGAGGGAGCGATGGAGCTATTTGAAGGAATCGAGGGGTCGAGGGTTTGGCGGGACTATCCCCCTCAGTTTTATTGACCGGTCCCGACTGCGGGCCCGATCGGTGGGACCAAGGAGGTGCTAGAGGTTCCTCTCCCTCCCTTTTCCCCCCTTTTTTCAAGCTTTTCTTATTCTTATCCTTAACACTCTTTAAGCAAATAGCGGTCCTCGCGTAACGCTCCCGCGCGAGGCCGCTGTCCACTGTTGGGAAATGCAGTGGGACCGGCGGGCGGGCCCMGGCCGAACCGGTGAGAGTCGTCGGGATTGTCGAGCGGGCCTGTGTTGGACGGCCCGATAGAGTTTTCGGGATCCGTGCCAGGCGATTCCCGAAACTTCTATTGGGCCGTCCAACGCGGGCCCGATCGGCGATCCTGCTTTTGCATTTATGTGCAGCTTCCCGCCGTGATGTTCAGCTTTGCTTTTTCAATCGCTTTGCTGCTTGAATGCGACTCGGTTCTACGTGTTGCTTCCTGTGTTGCTTCCCGCGGTGATGTCTCGATTCGCTGCTTGAGAGAGAGAGAGAGAGAGAGAGAGAGAGAGAGAGAGAGAGAGAGAGAGAGAGAGAGAGAGAGAG